ATATAATTACCTCAAACTCTCGCAACCTACTTGTCCTCTTCTCTACCCTATAATCTGTTCTCCACCTCACTGAACCATCACCTCTGGAAGCCTCGGCTGAGCTGTGCGAGAACTTCTTACATTTCTTTTTGGAAAAAATTGCGACCAACCGGGCTCTCATTTCCCCTCCAACTCATGACCATCCATCCCACCTCAATCTGTAGCTCTATTTGACCATTTTGAACCCATCGCTCTATCTTCTCTAAAGCAGGTCATGTGCAGCTTGAAACCTGCTGGTTCCCCCTTTGATGTGGTCCCCCCATGACTACTAAAGGAGGTTTTTCCTACTCTAGGTCCGTCCATTCTTACTATAGTAAACAGTAGTTTATCCACTGGCGTGTTACCAAAAACCTTTAAACATGCTGCTGTCCAGCCTCTCCTGAAAAAAAAACTTCCGGCCTGTCTCCAAACTCCCATTTGTTTCTAAACTACTGGGGAAAATATTCGAGTCCCAGTTGAAGTGCTTCCTGGAGGGTCACGCCATCTTAGAGCTATTCAAGTCTGGCTTTAAACCTCCTCAGCACTGAAACTGCCCTGCTGAAGGTCTTTAATGACATTTTCTTAACCACTGATAATAGTGATTCTGTGCTGCTTGTCCTATTGGACCTCACAGCCGCCTTTGACACCATCGACCATGAGATCCTCATTGCTAGGTTAGAGCAGTGGGTGGGCATTACAGGGTCAGCCCTCAATTGGTTCAGATCCTACCTCACTGACAGATCCTTTTGTGTCTCCATCAAGGATTTTAGTTCTGCAGAGGCAGAGCTTAAATGGGGGGTTCTGCAGGGGTCTATCCTGGGTCCCCTCCTATTCTTTTTATACCTGCTGCCGCTTGGTGCTATTTTCCGGAAACACAACATGCTCTTCCACTTCTATGCCAATGACTGTCAAATTTACTTCCCCCTAAGATACAATGGCACATGCTCTATTAAACCTCTGCTCGACTGCCTGGCTGACATCAGGGACTAGATGGCTTTAAACTTCTTAAGTTTCAATGAAAAGAAGTCTGAAGTCATGTTCTTCCCTCCCAGTGACATGATCACAAACCACTGCATCGACCTCTCCGCTCTAACCCTGTCAGAAAAAAAAAGAGTCACTAATCTGGGAGTGATAATGGACCCTTCCCTGAAACTTAACATTCATGTTTACATGTTTACAAATCATGGTTCTTCCAACTGAGGCGGCTGTCTAAACTGAAGCCCATATTGTCCAAAAATAACCTAGAGATGGTAATACATGCATTCATTACATCTAGGCTTGATTACTGCAATTCGCTCCTGTTTTGTATCAGTCAAACCTCCATAACACGACTGCACCTTGTCCAGAATGATGCAGCAGCCCGATTTTTAACCAGTACAGGCAAAAGAGAACATATTACACCAGTTTTGGCCTCACTGCACTGGTTACCGGTTCACTTTCGAATCCAGTTCAAAATACTCATGTATGTCTACACATCACTGAACAGTTTCGCCCCCCTTATCTCTCTGATCTGCTACAACCGTATATCCCACCACGTTCCCTGAGGTCAGCGGACCAGTTGCTCCTCACAGTTCCAGGAACTCGTCTTAAGCGCAGAAGTGACAGGGCCTTCTCTGTAGCAGGACCAAGACTTTGGAACGAGTTACCTCTGCTTCTCAGACAGGCCCCCTCCCTCTCGATTTTCAAGTCCCTTTTACTCACTACTGTTCAGTAGCATTCACCACCAGAGGATCTGTGTTTTGAACCTGTACGCTCCACACTGGTTTGTCGTCATTATCTGTATCGTATTTATGTCAATATTTCTGATTTACTTCATTTTGTATTTTACTTTGTGTTTTACCTGTTGTTCTGTCTGTACAGCACTTTGGTTGGCCTTGTTGCTGTTTTAAGTGCTCTATAAATAAAATGGTATGGTATGGGTATGGTATACTGCTTGGAAAGGTTCTATAATCTGGCATTGGTGAATTGTGGACGTGGAGCTTATAAAGGCAGGTGAACAGGTGATGCTGATGAGTGCTGATTGCTGTGGAGAAACAAGGGAGGCGTAGCAAGGCTTGGAGGGAGCAGGCTTGAATTGAAGGATGGGTGATAGGCAAAACAAACATGGACAAAAAAAACTATGGGAGGAAGGGACAGAAACATGAAAGTAAACCGTAATAAGTCAGAGTACATGTGTGTGAATGAGAGGGAGTCCAGTGGAAAAGTGAAGATACAAGGAGCAGAGGTCACAAAGGTGTAGAATTTCAAGTACTTTGGGTCCACTATCCAGGAAAATGAGGAGTGTGGTGAAGAGGTGAAAAAGGCAGGATGGAATGGATGTTGAAAAGCTTCAGGAGTGATTTGTGACAGAAGTGTGTTTGCAAAGGTCAAAGGAAAACTTTAAAAGACAGTGCTGAGATCAGCTATGTTGTATGGTCGGGAGACATAGTCATGGACAAAAAGACATGAGAAAGAACTGGAAGTAGCAGAAATGAAGATGTTGAGTTTCTCCTTAGGAGTGACAAGGTTGGATAACATTGGGAAGGACAGCACAGGTTGAACAACTGGGAGATAAAGTTAAAGTGGCCAAACTGAGATGGTTGGACATGTCCAGAGGAGAGACAGTGGGTATATTGGTAGAAGGATATTAGAAATGCAGCTGCCAGGAAAAAGACAAAGAGGAGATACTGTTTATGGATGCAGTTAGAGAGGACATGGAGGTAGTTGGAGTGAGGACAGAGGATGCAGAGGACAGAGTGAGATGGAGAAGGATGACTTGCTGTGATGACCACTGAAGAGGGAAAAGCCAAAAGAAGAAGTTTTTTTTTTCCTTTCGGCTGCTCTCTTCTTCAGGGGTCGCCACGGCGAACTAACTTGTACAAATATCCTGATGCATGCTCAATAATCCAGGTAGATTGCACAGGTACTTGCACAAAGACTTGGCAATTGTTTTTACATAGGATGTCCTTCCTGATGCAACTGCAGACCACCAAGCTACCACAGCCCACTGTGTAGTGCAAAGAGCTGACATGTAGGGTCCCTGGGGGAGCACATGGTGGTTGTTAAGGGCCTTAATCAAGAGTGGGGTAAATGAGAGTTGAGGAAGTTGTGACGTTTTCACCTTTCTGACCCACATTTTGATGTTGTCGGTCTGGGAAGTTTAACCTGTGACTTTCAGATCAAAGACCCACCTCATCTAACATCTGCACCACCCCTCCCCCAATTACTATGAGTGTAATAAGAAAAAGAAAACAAGGGTTTAATGCATAAATTCAGTGTTGCCCACAATTGCTCTTTTTAACTGTAAGTAATGTCCATTCATTCATCCATTTTCTTTACCCACTTATTCCATTTTGGGTCACGGGGGTCGCCGGTGCCCATGTCCAGCAATCACTGTGCGAGGGGCAGGGTACACCCTGGACGGGTCTCCAGTCCATCACAGGGACACATAGAGACAAACGAGACAAACAACCATTCACTCTCTCACTCACACCTAGGGACAATTTAGAGTTACCAATCAGCCGAACATGCATGTTTTTGGTCTGTGGGAGGAAACCGGAGCACCCGGAGAAAACCCACGCATGCACGGAGAGAACATGCAAACTCCACCCAGAAAGGCCCCTGGACCGGGGTTTGAACCAAGGACCTGCTCACTGAGAGGCAGCAGCTCTACCAGTTGCGCCACCGTGCTGTCTTGTAGGTAATATAGTAAATTAATTACTTTTGTAAAACAATTTATTCACATATAGTGACTTATTAAATGATAAATGATATAAGTTTTCTGTTCTAGAATTGCACCGCTCCAGGTGGCTGCATGTTGGAGCAGCTCTGTTTCATTCTGAGATGTTTCTTTAGGAAACTTTAATTCCTCTTTTTCTGGATGTAAATCACATTTTTTGGACGATTGTTTCCTCTGGTATCAGATGCTGAGCAGCTGGAAGGATTTTTACTGAAACTTGTTTAGTTTTGGACATTTGTTATGATGCGTAACCATGGCAACAAGTCAGTTTTCTACAACCAACAGCAGCTGATTAACATCTCAAAAGTTCAAATTATATCTCAACTACAGCCCCAAATCTCAAATGAGTTGAAAAGGATGTTCTGTGGATGCATTCTCATCTACCTGTCAGCTGTGCTCGAGTGTCTGACCACTGACATCCTGGAACTAGCAGGAAACACGGCTCATGACAGCGGAAGGACAGGATCATCCCTCAGCACCTACAGTTGGCTGTCCGCAGCGACGAGGAGCTTGGCATTCTGCTGGGAGGAGTAGCCATTGCTCTGGGAGGAGTTCTGCCCAGAATTCGGGCGGTCCTACAGCCCGGCGGAACAGAGAGGCCAGCCGAGTCTGGGTGGATGGATCGGACGGCATCTGCAGCCAGTTTCTTAAGATCCACTGTGGGATGGACCTTTGCAAGAGATCCTTCCTGCTTACAGCCATCAGTGTCTATAACATCTCTTAATGAAATGAGGATAATGAGTTACATCAACAAATAATTTCCCTTTGGGATTAATAAAGTATTTTTGAATTGAATTCAATTGTTTAAGAAGGCAGGAGATTGCATCGAGTCTTCAATACAATAATACAATACAATAAAACTGTATTTATAAAGCACTTTAAAACAACATGGTTGGCCAAAGTGCTGTACACTAGCACAACCAAGCATAAAAACAATAAATTCAACTACCAAAAAAGTAATGAACCACTAAATCATAAAACAGCAAACAGTAAAAACATTAAACAAATAACTTAAAAACAGTAAAACCAAAATTTCAAGCTGAGTTAAAAGCCAAAGAGAAAAAAAATATACCTTCAGAGAAGATTTAAAAACAGTCAGCTTGTCTGACACGCAAAGGTAGCTCATTCACTCACCAGTTAGCTTTACTCACCAGTTCTTTATTTATGTATTACCATTCAGATCCCCCGTACATCTATTGATTCATCTTAACAAATACCATAATGACTAATCTTACACATTGGGATTTTTTTCTAATTTTTCCAGAACTTTGTACAATCAGTCAGCAATCTGTTAATGGAGGAGAACCGAGATAGATGGGAGGAAGCACAATTGGTAAGTACCAGCCTTTCTTTCTAAAACAGTCTAATTATTTGTAATTTCATCCTGTGGTGAACTTTGAGTTTAGTAATAATGACCCTGAAGCTGATGAATGAAAACGTGACAAAGACACAGGTGGACAATCAGCCCAGTTGTCTCCTCAGACAGACAGTGGTGAGAAGAAAGGACAAACAAGCAGAGCACAGAAATAGCTGCAGCTAATGAACAAACGGGTCAAAGCAAACACCCACTCCCCATCTGCTGCACACATTTCTACATCCCTGTCTATCTTTATCCATCCCTCCTCTGAAGACAGTCACCATGCAGGTGGAGGAAGGATGCTAAATAAACTAACCTGCTCTTCTCAAAGCTCATACGTTTCTTTAAATCACTGCATATGCATTAATATTACAGCAGTGAACAAGATAGACAACAAGAATAAGTATATTTTAAATATCATTAATTCAATCATTAGTATTACTATTCCTAAAAGTGGCAGTATGAGGAAAATAAAACATTCCTGAAGATGTTTTGAGAGATGCCAACACACGTACTGCCCAAAATGTTGACATAACTTTGTATATGTATATATATGTATATATATATATATACATACATACATACATACATACACACACACACATATATATATATATATATATATATATATATATATATATATATATATATATATATATATATATATA